GAAACAAATTTAGGCTCGTTCGTGTTTTAAACTCTTGTACTCTGTGGTACCGATGCAGTGGCTATCAATTGGGCTAACAAGCCAACTGGACGCTGGTCATTTTGTTGGTTTGTAATAAACCGTCGTCAACCCAGTCGTCAACTCATAGTCATAGTGGCGCACTAACAAATTGCATTACGAAAGAGGTGTAAGGTATTCGTACAAACAGTCAGTCTCGCAATTTAAAGCAAGTTGAGCTGAATTGTATATGTTATAGGTAATTTTTGCTTTTGGATAATTTTATTTCTAACTAGTTTTTTTTTTTTTAACTGGTTAAATTTTTTGGACTGGGTAAAATTTTTCTCCCTAGTTAACTTTCATCATTGTTTTAAGGCAGGAGATTCAGTTTGGATCAGGATGACTTACCGCAAAACAAAACTATTATGCATTTGGGGCTCAGTGTTACGGTTTTAGAGTTAGGTTCAGGGTTAGGGTTAAGGTGACTTTATATGCCAAATAAATTGTTTGTAATACATTTCTTCAGTGAAAAAATAATGAGCCCTTCTTGTTATGTTTTAACGACTATTAGGTTTATACCAGGAAATGCGCTCTCGATTTCTATGCAAGATACCTGATTTGTGCTTCTCCACAGTAGTATAGGTAGTCTGGCCAGACATTAATTTATTTGCACACTCGGACCCAGGCTCCGCGGGAATGTCTGGCCAGACTACCTACACTACTCTCTACCATCAACTGTCATGAGGTAGAGACCTAGAACTCACCATCTAATTGTTAATTAGGGGAAATATGACGTCTGCTGTGTTTCAAATGAAAGAAATATGCACCAGCAAGTAAACATGATACACAGCTCTGAAACTTCAAAACGTGCTTTAAAACCATTTCCTCAATCGTACGCAAATGATGAAGAAGAAAACGTGATTCTCATGTGATTCCCTGTCGAATAGATATCCCGTATAGACTTCATATTGTAGTTATGGTCACAATATCGAACAAGCTCGTCACTCCAAGAGTACTTCCCGTCACGAATCTGCACAGCATCTGCATTGCTCGAACGGTATTCACATTGGATGTGGCCTCTTCCGAGGTCAAAGTCTTGAAATGTCAACTTCACTCTTTTGCCAGCTGGAACGGTGATCACCCAGGTGCACTTGGAATCACGTGGGTATGGATATGGGTAATCAGGACTGAATATTGTACCAGACGCGCCACTGAGCTGCATGACGTCATCATTTGAGCCTCCAGATGTTTTAAGACATATTCCAGCAGCTTCATCTGTGTGGGGGTAAATCTACCATTTTCAACAACTTAATAATTAAGGTTAAATTTTTAGGTAAAAAAAATTTTAATTCTCATTAAAGTTCACCTTTCACAAGTTCACCCCAACTACGAGTTTACTGTAGGAAGTTCGTCACCGTTGCACGAAGCGGATTTCCCTTTAGTAAACGGCCGTTGCCATTTGAAACGGTCGTTGCCATTTTGAAACGGTCATTGTCATTTGTCGAAACAGTCGTTGCCATTTTGTAATGAATGGCAACGACTGTTATCGGAAATGGCAACGACCGTTTCAAAATGGTAACGACCGTTTCAAATGGCAACGGCCGTTTACGAAAGGGAAAATTGCACCGAGGTGACTACTTTTTATTCTTTGAATCTCTTCCAACCCCCAGCTAACATAAATATCCCATAATTCTCCACACCCCTCTCTATACATTCACTTTCGTACTGACAGGGAGAATTCGTCTAACAATCAAAACCTCCTAGGTTGGCGATCATTTTCTTTATTCCAGAGAAATTAGAAGCCAGTCACTCTTGGAGTTTAAAGACTCAAGACAAAATTCTTACAACAATTTGCATGTTTGCCATTGCAATCACTGTGTCTTTTTTCGTTACAGGCTACTGCATGTTATGTTTTTTTCTAAATGTTAAAGTTGATCGATTACCCATAATTCTTAAGTCGTTTAGTTTGGCGGAGAGTTATTTTTCAGCCCAAAAAAACTTGTTGTGGCGGGGGAAAGAGAGCTGACGCTTTGAGAGTTATCCCTTCGTCAGAGCGAATGAAACTGTTTACAGAAGCCAATTTCCAAATCATAAAACATAATACAAATAGAACGAAGTGAACGATAAGAAAATAATGAATAAGTTACCTTTAGAAGCCGCTAAGACATTCAAACTGAAACCCCTGTAATTAGTTATTCCATCAGACGAGAACCTTACAAGCAGATGACGACCAGTGGAGTAAATAACCTCAGGATGCACTTTTC